TCTTCTTCGTGCTCTGCCCCTCCGTGCTGGTGCAGCTCACCCTCATCTTCGTGCATCGCGACCTCAGCCGCAACCGCCCCCTCGTCCTGCTCATGCACCTGCTCCAGCTCGGACCCATCATCAGGTGAGGACGGCAGGAAAGCCCAGCACGGAGTCACGGACCCCCGACGGGGGAGAGCAGGCAGGCTGGGAGCGCTGGCTGCAGCCGTCTGTGCCCGGAGCTGCTCCTGCCGCTCCCCGTGCCTCCTCCCCGGGCACACTGCTGATCCCGGACCTTGTGCCCCTTGCTCGACCCTCCACCACCTCCAGTGGTGCTGCAGGCACTCCTACTGCACCCCATGCCACGGCTCTGCCAGCCTGTTGTACCCCAGCAGCTGGAAAGGCTCTGTGCAGTGTCCTGTCTGCAGCCTCTGGGGTTTGCTGTCTCCTTGCTTAGGCTGGGAGCACAGATGGGAATCCCCAAGTGGGTGGCTCGAGGGAGAACAGAAACAGAGCTCCTGTGCTCCAGAAAAGGTCCCCAGGCCTGGGATGAATGGGGGTTATGCAACGTGGAGAAACTGGGTGTGGGAGCAGGGCTGGCATAGGAGCTGGGGAGCCACTGGGAAGAGGGGAGTGAGGAGGTGGATGTTGCACAAGCTGGAAAGGTGGTGATCTCTCATTCCTTGGGAATGCTGCAGAGCCTTCCAGGCTGCCGTGCTGCTCAGTGGGAATGCACAGTGGTTGGCGTGGCAGAGGCACCATCTGCATGGGGCTCCTTCCCCAGGGACAGCCACGTTTTGGGGCACTCTGTTCCCACACAGCTGCAAAATCACCATAGCCTGCATCACACTTCCTCCATCACCGGAAACAAGCAGAGTGCCGGAGGCGTCTCCATCACCACATCTCATCTTCAGAGGTGGCCTAGGAGCCCACGCTGGCTCCTGGTTGTGTCACGGCTCTCACCACACCGACCTTGGCTGTCTGAGATGTTACGGTGGTGTTTAGTGGCTTCAAGAGCCAGCCAGAGCTGCCCAGGGGAGGCTGGAGATGGAGCTCAGCCTGCTGAGAAGGTCTGGCAGGGCACCGTAAGACAACTGGGACTGCCCTTGAAGCGGGACCTTTGCATGAAACTGTTTTCCTGTTACATTTACGATGAGCCATGAGCTCTGGCCTGATCTGGTGAGAGAATTTACCCAAAAACCTCATTCCATTTGTGTCCAATATGGAGCAACTTCTTGTCCTAATGAGCACTCCTAAATAATGACATCCTGTTGGTGTCAGAGCCAGCTGGTCCCCAGGCGTGAGCCAAACCTGTTGGATGGGTCCTCCTCTGCCGCTCACCTCTGGCCACACAGACCCATCCCATGGCTGTATGCAGAAGGACTGAGGGTCCCTCTGCCCTTGCAGCATGGGAGAAAGCTATCCCCTCCGTGCCTGCACGTGAGGGTGCCCCACAGGGAAGGGGCTGAGGAAGCACTGTCTTATCTGCCAGTGTCACACACGACTTCACACTGCACTCCCCTTCCTGCTGTCCCCACCAAGAAGGAAGCGTGGAAGCCTTCTTCTGCTCAAGAGGAGAGATCAAAGACAATATCAGAGTTTCTCTTGCCTCTGCTTAAAGGAAGAGGTTTTTGCCAGTTGGGAAAACAGAGCCCGAGGGTGATTAACCCCTTCCTGTAGCTGTAGCTACATCAGAGTGTTTCCATACCCTGGATGCTGCATCTCTTGCAGCAGCTGTTGTCCCACTCACTGGGATAGTTGTTGTCCTCCTGCCCCACATGATTCACCCTGAATGCTGGAAAAGGAGTGTCCACTGGGCATCCCCATGGTCTTGATGTGACCCTGCAGTCATCCTGCCATCCCAGGGCCAGGGACTGCTGGAGAGTTGCCCAAAGCAGTTGGGCTGCCCCCAGCAAGAGCAGGGTCTGGCCAAGGCAAGGGGGTGCTGGAGGTGCTGGGAGTGGGACTCGAGGGAAGTGGGGAGTCTTGTGGGATGACCGATGGTGGGGGGACCACTGCTGTGTCCCCACAGGTGCATGGAGGCCTTGCTGGTGTACTGCTGGTCAGGGAGGGAGGAGGAGCCCTATGTCACCATCACCCGCAAGCGTTGGCTGCGCAAAGGCTACGAGGTGGAGATGGAGCGGGAGGTGGGTGGCTCGGAGCGCCGGCTGGCCACGCACCGCAACGCCTTCAAGCGCATGGCGGTCATCCAGGCCTTCCTGGGCTCCACCCCACAGCTCACCCTCCAGCTCTACATCAGTGTCTTGGAGAAGTACATCCCTGCTGCCCGAGGTAAGGGTGCCTGGCACGTGGGCTCCCCAGGAACCTCACTGGGGCACAGTGGCAGCTCCGTAGCTGTGTGTGCTGATGTGGCATCCAAGCAATCTGAACGGTCATTCCTGGGGGCACCACTGCCACCGGACTCCCCTAAATGTGGGACACAGCCCTCAGAGCTTGGGCACTTAATCCATCCCCACACTCAGCACTTTGTTTTCCAGCTTACAGTGAGGCTGGGGACAGTGGGAAGAGCTGGCCATGTCTGAGGCAGTAGGCCGCCTAGCCCCAGTGCTTGTGGATATCTGCCCTGTGGAGCTGTGCCATCCCCAAGTGTCCTGTCCCATAAAAATATCATGTCCCTGCCCCAGCCTGCTCAGTCTCTGTTAGATTTTTCCAGTTAGACACGGGCTCTGGCTTCCCCACAGTCTCTCCATTGGATCTCTTTTTGTGCTTTTCCCAACAGCCAGAGCTGCCAGCGCTCCCACTCCCGGCCTCCCTTGCCTGTTCTCAGGATGTTTATGTGCTTGGGGGTGGATGTGCCAGAGGAAGCTTTTAACTCCCACTTTAGCATGCTACTGAGCCAGGCACGCAGGCGTGCTCATGCACCATTCCAATTGCAGTGCCAGGTGAAGGAGCTGCTCTCATCCATCTGCTCTTCTGGCAGTGCTGGGAGCTCAGACCTTGCCCTCTGTGCCCATGGCAGGCGCATGGAAAAGAGAAAATGGGAGGTTCCCCATAACAACCCCCTACTTGGCTGCAGCCTCCTGTGAAGGTGTTTAGGGCAATTGGAGCAGCACAGGAAGGATAAGCCCCCATGCTCTTCCAGCAACAGATGCAGGAAGCAAATCCTGGTTGACATGTTTTGGGTGATTCCCTTGCAGCTCAGGTATCAGCTCAACCCTGCAGCTCGCAGCCAGCATGGATAGGACCAGGCACATGCTTCCCTTTCTGCCCATTATGGTTTTCCTGGCTGCACTAAATGTGAACAGCTGCAGGCATTCCCTATGAATGACCTTGGCTTTGCAGCCCCTGGATGAGGCTGGCTCTTGGGATGCTGCCAAGGCTACAGTGGTGCAGCTCTTGGCTGGGGTGAGGGGATACTCACAGCACAGACCATGCCCCACTTGCCCTTGAGCAGCATTTCTTGCACAGTGAAGGGGATTGGGGCATGGTTCAAGCACAGGAATGGCCCCAGTTTGGCAAAGGCTCCTGGTTTATTGGTGTAGGGAGAAGATCTGGGAGCAGAGCCTCCTGCTGCTGGCAGCTCCCTGCCACAGCCACCTCATCATGAGAGCTGTCACAACCAGCCATGAGCTGTCCCAGCAGTGCTCACACTGAGCCTCCTGCTCCAATCCCTGGTGCTTGGCACCCTGTGCTGCTCACCCAGAGTTGGCACACCATGTTTCCTACATGGGATTAGTACCCCATATTTCCCACCTGGGGTTGGCACCTCACACTTTGCACCCCCAGCAGTGGAGAGGCTGGACACACAGCCTGGTCCCTGACGCTGCCTGACTCCCCTGCTCTCTCTCTCCTTCTGCAGCTGTCCTCATGGGTATCTGCCTGGTGTCGGTCACCTATGGAGCTCTTGTCTGCAACATCCTGGCTATCCAGGTCAAGTACGATGACTACAAGGTCCAGCTGCGGCCACTGGCCTTCCTCTGCATCGTGCTGTGGCGCAGCCTGGAGATCTCCACCCGCGTGGCTGTCCTGGTGCTCTTCAGCACCGTCTTCAAGCACTGGATAATCCCCATCGCCCTGGCCAACCTGCTGGTGGTCTTCTTCTTGCCCTGGGTGCAGTTCTGGCGCAGCGGCACCCACCTGCCCGACAACATCGAGAAGAACTTCAGCTGCGTGGACACGGTGGTGGTGCTCTGTGCCTTCACCCTCCTCTATGCCAGCATCAATATGTTCTGCTGGTCGGCCGTGCAGCTCAAGCTGTCCGACCGGGACCTCATCGACAAGTCGCAGAACTGGGGCTGCCTGGCCATATACTACGTGGTCCGACTGCTGGAGAACACAGCCCTCGTCATCCTCTGGTACTTCTTCAAGACGGATGTCTATGAGAACTTCTGCACCCCACTTCTGGTCGTGCAGCTGCTCCTCGGCTACTGCCTGGGCATCTGCTTCATGCTCGTCTTCTCCCCCTCTTTCCTCTGTGTGCTATTGGTAACCTGAGCGCTGACTTCCTGCACTGCGTCTGCTGCCACCGACACCCGCCAGGGACCCCTCTGTGCCTCGAGGTACCCTTGGAGCCTGGTGTGAGGCACAGCATTGTCTGAGGTACAGCCAAGTGTCGGGGTTTAACCCCAGCCAGCAGCCAAGAACCACGCAGCCTCTCACTCCCCCACCAACGGGATGGGGGAGCGAATCAGAAGGATAAAAGCTACAAAAACTCATGGGTTGAGATAAAGACAGTTTAATAGAGGAAGCAAAAGCTGCACACACAAGCAAAGCAAAACAAGGAATTAATTCACTGCTTCCCACAGACAGGAGGTGTTCAGCCATCTCCAGGAGAGCAGGGCCCATCACGTGTAACGGCTCCTTCGGAAGACAAATGCCATCACTCCAGATGTCCCCCCTTCCTCCTTATTCCACCTTATATACTCAGCATGATGTCATATGGTATGGAATATCCCTTTGGTCAGTTTGAGTCACCTGTCCCAGCTGTGTCTCCTCCCAATCTCCCATGCATCCCCAGTTTCCTTGCCAGCGTGGCAGTATGGAAAGCAGCAAAGGCCTTGGCTCTGTGTGAGCTCTGCTCAGCAATAGCAAAAACATCTCTGCATTATCAACTCTGTGTTCAGCACAAAACCCAAACATAGCCTCATACTAGTCTCTGTGAAGAAAGTTAACTCTACTCCAGCTCAAACCAGCACATCAAGTCAACATCTGGAACCTCCAGGCAGCTGCAGACATGGGAACAGGCAGCACTGGGCTGCACTGGCAGCCAGAGGATGCATGCGGCATGAACCAGCTGCTGCCTGATCCTGCAGAGGCAGCAGGTCCCAGAGTGTGTCTTCATGGCAGCAGGGGCATACGAGTATGTCCAGCTGCCCAGGACAATGCATATGGACATAACGGAGGTTTGATTTGAATTTGACACAAGGAAGAAGTTTTTTACAATGAGGGTGATGAGGCACTGGCGCAGGCTGCCCACAACGGTGTGGATGCCCCATCCCTGAAAACACTCAAGGCCAGGTTGGATGGGGCTCTGAGCAACCTGGTCTAGTTGTCCCCATCCATGGTAGGGGGTTGATCTAGGTGGTCCTTAGTGGTCCCTTCCAACCCAAATTGTTCCGTGATTCTAGGACTTATGGGGTGCCCAAACCACCTGCCACAAGCTGACTGCTGTGCAGTGCACAGCCCCTCGGGTGCCCTGACATCCCCTCCTGCCACTACAGAGCATATAGTGACCTTGGGCCATGGGTACCAGTGGGGCTGTTTTAAGCAGTAAAGAAACTTTGCTCTGGCTGTGTGTCTGGGTGCTGGCAAGTGCCTGGTGACTCACGTGGAGGGTGGGGACCGTCCCGCCGAGGCTGTCATGGGTGCACACACCTGATGTCCACATAGTCCTCATGGGCACCAGAACGAGGCTGCAGCAGCAGGAAGTGGTGAGGGTGGGGGAGTCCCTCGAAGGAGCTGATAAGACTCATGAGCATGGTGGGATGGGGACCAGCCTGATCCTGTGTTTCTGTCAGTGTGGCCATGGCTACAGGCCAGGAGCAACCCAGCAGCCAGGCAGGTGCAACCCTGTCCAACCTGTTCCTCCAGACTCAGGGCCCCAGCACTGGCTGCTGTTCCCCGGTAGAGCACTGGGTGCTGCAGAGCTTAGGGCCCTGTAGTGGAAGGCAGGCACAAGGGGAAAGGTGGGGATGCTGATGGGATCCAGGCATCCTGACCCCAAACCAGGAGTGTGACCCCCCCAAGCACCCATTTATGGGGTTAGCTCAGTTTGGGTGCCAGACTGAGGGTGCTCATCACCCCTGTGGTGCCCACAGAGGTGCAGCACCGCTGGTGCTCAGTCTTAACTCACCTGCCCTGTAATGGATTCCCGGGCCAGATCCTGGCACAAGCGCAGTCCATACCCCTGGGATGCTTCTCCTCCTTTGGTGTTTTCTCAGTAAAACAGGGGCAGTGAAGGCTGGTGAGGGAGGCCAAGGAACAGCACATCTGTTGAGCCGGGCACAGGATCAATCCTCCACAGGTTCCTCCCACCAGGAAATTCCTAACTTAAAAAAAAGCCCATTTTTGTCCTCAAAGATTGTAAAACCCCAAGACGAGCAACCTGACACCCTGCGGCACCCAGCCATGGGGCCAAGGGGACCCCTCAGATAGAGAGCTGGTTTTGGAATGGGCCAGTGGGGTCAGCCCTGCCTTCCTGGAAGATGGCCTTTGAAACCACCAGCATTTCCTCAAAGGCTTCTCAGGGGAAAGTCCCCATGGTGCTGTTCCCGCAGTCAGAGCTGCCACACCGCCTGCTGCCTCCATAAAACGTCGGGCAGGCAGTGGCAGACACAGACAGACAGCAGCAGGCAGAGGGAGTGACACCATGGGCAACTGGCTGGTCAACCACTGGTTCTCGGCCGCCGTCCTCGTGAGTGTGTGGGGCTGAGGGGATCGTTGGGGTAGGGCAGTGTGGGAGGCTATGGGGGGCTCATGGGGGTCGATGGGCTGTCCTGGGGATGGGCTATGGGGAGAGACAAGCATCCCCTCTGCTCACCCAATCAGCAGCCAGGGGAGGGATGGGGTTAGGATAACTGAAATCTTGAGGAAAATACAACACAAAGGAAAGGGGGGGGGTCCTGAAAAAACTTTAAAATGCTGCTGGTTTGCCCGGCCACTTTGGCTGGGAGACCCCCACATGCATCTTCTCCCCTTGTGAGAGCAGGAGGCTCCCTGAGAGCCTGTGCTGGGGTGAGGAGGCAGCACCATAGGGACCACCTGCCCGTGCTGTGCTGTGCTGTGGCATCACTGGTGTAACGGGACTTGCCTGGCTGGACCCATCAGCTGCTCAGCACTGAGTGACAAGCTGTGAATGCATGGGAAAATAGGGGTTTGCAGACAGTTGGGCTATTCCATCTTTTTAGGTTAAAAAAACCAAAACAAAAAAAACCTCAAATACAGGGCGGAGTGGTTTTTTTGGGAGCTCTGCAAAACATCAATGGCTGTGAGAGGGGCCAGTGTGGGGTGCAGCAGGGTTAGGCAGGGCATGGCAGCAGAGTGGGGCCAGGTGAGTCAGCTCCCTGCAAAACTTCCTCGCCCCAGAGTCTTCCACACACAGCCACGACCACCCTTGGACCTGCCCTCCCGTTACATGGGCGTTGCCTGCTCATACCTTTCTTCGTTCCTTGTGTGGGTGATGCACAGGGCTGTGGGTGACAAGAGAGTCATTTTGAAAGTTTCCCACACCTCTCACACCTTTGGCCCTGTGCCCCAGCCCTGTGCATGCTGCCGTAGCTCATAAGGAAACAGGAGGGAATGTGCTGTCCTGACATCCTCTGGCTACACCCACACCAGAGTTCTGTGGGGTGAGAGGCTCCTGGGCCAGGGTCCCTCACAAGGCTGTGACTTTCCCCCACAGGCAGCCTGGCTGGGCATCAACATCTTCCTCTTCACCTACTACTTTCTGTTCTTTGACCAGGATGCGCGGTATTTCTACACCAGGGCCATCCTCGGGGTAAGGTGCTCCTCTGCAGCACACTGGACGTGGGCCCCATGGAGCCCTCCTGTGGTGGGGTGAGGGCTGCAGGATGTCCCTTCCTTGTCCTGTCCTTTTCCAGCCCACCATGACTCTGTCCCACACAATGCCATGCTGATCCATGCTGGTCCCTGTCATGATCCCTGTCTGGTCCCATCCCAACAGCAGCCCAGCATCACTCCCTCCCAGTCCTCCGCTCCTGACTCCATATCACCCTCTCCCAGTCCCCATTCCAGTCCAGCATCATTCCTTCTCTGTCCCCCAGCATCACTCAGTCCCAGCTCAGCATCTCTTGGCCCCATCCTCTTCCAGTCCTGGTACAACCCCATGCTGGGCAAAGGGGAGCCATGGGGAGCAGGATGGGTGCAGGTGGATGTTCCCCAGCTGTGGCACAGGACAACAGTGCTCACCCCCCTCCTCTCCCCAGTCTGCCTTGGCCTGGGCTCGAGGATCAGCCAAGTGCCTCAACTTCAACAGCATGCTAATCCTGCTGCCCGTCTGCCGCAACCTCCTCTCCTTCCTCCGTGGGACCTGCTCGGTGAGTGCCCCGCAGCACATGGCCAGTGTGTCCCCATCCCTGTCCCTGTCCTCATCCTGACACCACTGCCTCTCCTTGCAGTGCTGCAGGAGGACACTGCGGAGGCAGCTGGACCACAATCTCACCTTCCACAAGCTGGTGGCCTATGCCCTGGTCCTATTCACAGGTACTGCCCCACTCTGGGCTAGGGCATGGTGGGGACTGGGGGGCAGCCAGGTGGGTGACTGCTTGTCCCCTGCCCAGCTGTGCACACCATCGCCCACCTCTTCAACCTGGAGCGCTACAACCAGAGCCAACAAGCCACCGACTGCAGCCTCCCCGCTGTCCTCTCCAAGATGCACCAGAAGGGTAGCAACAAGTGGCTGAACCCCATCCACTCTAACGAAACGGTGAGCACGGCCTCAGCACCCAGCCCTCCACCACCACCCATCCCCTGCCCACCTAACCCATCCTGCTGCCCCTGCAGACCGTCGAGTACGTGGCCTTCACCACCATCCCAGGGCTGACAGGGGTGATCATCACGCTGGCACTCATCCTCATGGTCACATCCTCCACCGAGTTCATCCGCAGGAACTACTTCGAGGTCTTCTGGTACACACACCACCTCTTCCTCATCTACTTCCTCTTCCTCATCTACTTTGCTGGCCTTGTCATCCACGGCATCGCGTAAGGCTCCTCACCACTCCCCAGGGCAGGACAGCGAGGGGCAGTGGCCACAGACCCCTAGTGGGGTAGCCCTGGGGAGAGTCCAGTGGGACTGTGCGCTACCATTCCTGGGGCAGGCTAGCCCAGTCAGCCTCATGCAGCACAGTTCAGCCCGAGCTGGGGGGCAGGAGCTGTCCCCAGGTTCACCCCTCACCTCTCCACAGAGGGATGGTACGTGGGCAGACGGAGAAGAGCATGGCAGAGGTGCATCCCCACCGCTGCGCCCAGTATCTCACACAGAGGGACCAGAACTGCACCCATGACTGCTGCAAAGACCCTGAGTTTGGGAGCATCCCTGCTGAGGTAAGGCAGCATTGGGATGGCTGCGAGGCAAGAAGCCTTTCCCATGTCCTTGGGATGCTCCAGCCCTGGCCCTCCCCAATCCTTTGCTTTCCTCCATTCATTCTTACAGTCCTGGAAGTGGGTTCTGGCCCCTATCCTCCTCTATTTCTTTGAGCGACTCCTGCGGGTCTGGCGTGCACAGCAGAAGGTTGTTGTTACCAAGGTGGGTGGTGTAGCAGCCTGTGCCTACCCCAGCTCCTTCCCTCGGAGCCACCCGTGCCCAGCTCCTCGCAGTGGTGGCCGTGGTAAAGCAGCAGGGGCTGCAGCCACAGCCCCTTGCCCAGGGACAGGAGCCAGGCTGGGCACTGATCCCTGTCCATGCCCCACAGGTGGTGATGCACCCTGCCCGTGTGCTGGAGCTACAGATGCAGAAGAAAGGTTTCCGCATGGAGGTGGGGCAGTACATCTTCGTCAACTGCTCTGCCATCTCCCCACTGGAGTGGCACCCCTTCACCCTCACTTCTGCACCCGAGGAGGATTTCTTCTCCATCCACGTTCGGGTGGGTGGTGACTGGACGGAGCGTCTCATCGACACCTTCCAGCAGCAGAACTTGAAGATGCCCAGGTAGGCTAGGGAGTGCCCAAAGAGGCCACCCCAGGGATTTGGGGAGGCCATACCTCACACGCAGGTGCTCTCTTGGCCAGGATTGAAGTGGATGGTCCCTTTGGCACAGCCAGTGAAGATGTGTTCCAGTATGAGGTGGCCATGCTGGTGGGAGCAGGCATTGGTGTCACCCCCTTTGCCTCCATCCTGAAGTCCATCTGGTACAAGTTCCAGCAGGGTGACCAGACCCTCAAGACTAAGAAGGTACAGGGTGTCCCATGGGACCAGCCATGGGTTTCTCCATGCTGGGCTTCCCAGTCCTTGGCATTGCATCCTTCCACCCCTCTGGCTCTGCCCCACCTTGAGCAACCCCCCTGCCCCTGCATCCCAGATCTACTTCTACTGGCTCTGCCGGGACACAGGAGCCTTCGCCTGGTTCAATGACCTGCTTGCCTCGCTGGAGCAGAAGATGGCTGAGTCAGGCAAGGCAGACTTCCTCACCTATCGCCTCTTCCTCACTGGCTGGAACAACAGCATTGTGAGTCAACCATGGGCTGGCATGGCTGCAGGAGGGGACATGGGGAGGCAGAGTCAGTCAGGAGGGGCAGGGCAAGCACCACGGTTTTCAGGTACGAAGTCCAGGAACAGAGTTTAATGGGATTGGCAACGGATGCTCTTTCCTGATGAGGTGAAGGTGGGCTCACGGGTGGTGTCTGGGGTCCTCAACATCCCTGCTCTGCCCAGGCCAACAACGTGGCGCTCCACTTTGACACCTCTACGGACACAGTGACAGGCCTCAGGCACAAAACCAGCTTTGGGCGGCCCATGTGGAACACAGAGTTCGCAGCGGTGGCTGCAGCCCACCCCAGGTGAGAGCTGGGCAGGAAGTTTGGGCAGCCAGAGCTGGAAGGAACCCACTCTTCCTTGGCACTGAGTGCCAGGATGGGCAGTGCCAGCTTTGAGAGGGGTGTGCTGTCCTCTGCAGGCACCCCAAAGTACTTTTTCATCACTTTTCCCTGCGTAGGCCACTCAGTGCTGACATCCCTGTGCTGTGTGCAGGTCAGTGGTTGGTGTGTTCCTCTGTGGGCCAGAGGCCTTGGCGAAGAGCCTGAAGAAGTCTTGTCACCAGCACTCCAGCCTGGACCCCAGAAAGGTCAAATTCTACTTCAACAAGGAGAACTTTTAAGTGGCAGCAAGGCTGGGGCCCCAGCAGGCAGGGACCCTGCCTGTCTTGTCTCACCCCCTGTGCCAGAGCAAGGCCAGGGATGAGCACCTGCGCATGCACTGAAGCCAGGGAAGACACAGTAAGGAACTCCTTCTCTATGAGAAATTCCAGGTTCAAAGACTGCTGCCTCCCTGTCCTGTAGTACAAGGGATCCTCATGGAGTGAGTGGGCCTGCAGCTCTGCATGGCCCTGTCATTGGGACAAGAGAGACATATGCTGTGATGGTGCTGCTGGAGCAGCAGGAAGCAGCAGGAGTGCCCAGCAGGCTGGGCAGAACTACGGGATGGGGATGGGACATGGCCATGCCGAGCAGGCTTCGGGGGCCAAACATGCCCCTGTGGGTTTAAACAGTCCTTTGTGTAATTAAACTTGCATTTCTTTGCTATGAAAGCCTCTGATGACTCAGCCTTGCAGGTTAAGAAGGAGCCTACACTCTGTCCTTCGTAGAGCTGCAATAAAACAGTTGGTTAATACCAAACACTCTGGGGAGCAGAGTCAGACACCCCTCTGTGGGGGGCTTATTCACCCCCCCCCCCCCCCAGTGCCAGCCTGCACCTGGAGCCAGGCACAGGCCAGCTCCAGCTGCAGCTGATGCAAAGCTCTGCTGCAGCACCTGCACAGAGGAGGGAAAACCCCCCTCGCTGAGCAGGCTGGCACGGTAAGCGATACTGCAATCGGATATGGATCCCTTCCTGCCCTGCTGGCAGGGACAGAAAGCTGAGCTCCCCGTCCTGCCCTTCACCTACGCCCCGGTGAATAGCACAGTGCAAGAAATTCCATGAGTAGCTCTTGCTCTGATGCTGAGGAGGAGGGAGGATGGTGAATGGTTTGGAAAAGACTGAAGCCAGGCCAGACTGCTCCCAGAACCCAACACTCCCACTCTGGCCTCCACGAGAGACCAAACAAAGCAGCTGGAGACATGGATTTACTCAAACCCTCCTCCCACTTTATTTCAAACATCAAAAAATATACACATGGAAAAAAAAAAAAAAGATGATGAATTGGAGAGAAAAACAATGAGGGGGACACAACCTCTTCCAAAATGCAGCATCAGCCCAGGCAGGAAGCAGCTGCCACGGAGCATCACCTCTATTCAGGCACACGGCATCTCCACCACATGCCTGCCAGAAGAAAGGAGAGGAGAATGAGCCCAGCATGGACAGAGCAGGGCAGAGCCCCATCCTGGGCAGCTCTGATTTGTTGGAGGGGAACAGGCACAGGCTGAGGCAGGGTTAAGGATATTACCTGTCAGGGTGCCCCTGTGGACTTCTGGATTTGCTCCTTCAGAATGAGGATGCTCTGCCGCTGCTCCGGGGGCAGCATGGCGATCTGGTCTGCTGTCAGCTGCAGTACCTGCATGATCAGTGCTGCCTGTGGGGAAAGGGGGTCAGAGATGTGCTCTGCCAGAGCAGCCAGGGGTTACCGGAGCCAGGGAGGGCTGTCCCTGCCACAGAAAGTGCTGCTCCCTCCATCTCACCCTTTCCCTTTTGTTCTTACCTTCTCATGGTCCTGGGGGGTGACCTGGCTCTGTCCAGGGCTAAAGCC